TCGGCGAGGAAGCTTTATTGGGAGTTTTTTGCGTATGGCTTCAAATACATGCCATAGCCCTTATATGGTCTCAAATATAGCCCTTTTCCAGTAGCTGCCTTCTCTATTTCTCGATTATGTCGATGTTCTTCAGCTAGTCCTTTCCGATCAGCTTTCACATCATTAACCGCTTTGGCGATACCCGCGGCACCTCCACCTACTGCTCCAAGTGCTCCTAGAAGTGGGAGTAAAAATGGTAGAAATCCTCCAATTTTAGGCGCTGGAATGATTCTTTGTTTTTTAGTCTTTTTCGTAGGTCGCTTGGCCAATAGATTCAAAGCACCACCTTTTTTCTTCCGTGATACCTTCTTATTCCGTTTCAGCCCCATACCCATCTTGCTCTTCAATTTCATAGCTCCCGTAACCCCTAATGCTGCGATTTTCTCACCCACACCAGCATCAGATGCCTTGAAACGCTGTGCAGCTACTTCGGCCAGACGCCTATCAGCAATTTTTCTATGTTGTATGTCTTTGAGATTCGAATAAGCTATATCGTGTTGTTTGCAAGCCTCATCTAGTTCGTTAACACCTTTATCGCCTCTTAGTAGTCTCTTTTCAAGTTTAGTCCCAGGTCCACAATACTTATATCCTGGCACATGAAATTCTATTGGAAGCTATTGAGGAGTCCTCGACCTTTCCGTTTTACGCTTCGGCAACGACTGACTGAGTTATTCCTTCGTATCATTTTATAATGTTCAGAACACTGTCGGTTGAATAATAACTGATTTGCTATATGAATTCCTTCATATATAGAACTGAAACATGTTCGGTAGTGTCAGTTCCATGGATGTGCCTGCATAATGAAGATTCAAAAGCAGACATTCTCTCTACCAATCACAAATCATGATGAAATCGCTCACGAGAGTAAATTTAGGACACACGGAATTTTCGGTGGCCAGTCAAAAAGAGGTTCACTAGTAGGATCTAGCGCATCGGGGAAAACGAATTTAATGATATCCTTGACTGAACATCCAAATGGTCTCCGTTTCGAAAATATTTATTTGTATTCTAAATCACTTCATTAGCCAAAATATTCATATCTGAGGACATTATTGTCACCGTTGAAAAAAATAGGCTATATGGAATATAGTGACAAAGATGATATAATTGCACCAGACAATATTCGAGATAATTCCATTATAATATTTGACGATGATCTTAGCTGTGACCAAGATTTGATGAAAAGTTACTTTTGCTTTGGACGACATAGAAACACAGATCAGCGGCGGCTCCTCAGAGGAGGCAACGGAGGCTGAGCCTCCTCAGAGATTTTCCTTGAACTGATATTATCTATACTTTCTCATTAAAAGGACACCAAAATACATGGATTTTGATTCAATTTCCTATTTTTAGGTAAATATTTTTGAATTGGCAACAGTGCTTGCCCACGCATCACACGTTGAAGTCTGCAAAACACGCGTAAAATATCCAACTTGGCAACATCTATAGGAGGCTAGACTCCTTCATAATGCGCAAGCGCAACCTTGAGCGCAACCCACTCGCGCAATGCAAATGCTCTAATACGCCCGAATAGCACGTGTTTGTCGTGTCGCGTTGCGAATTGCGGACATTGTTTATTTTTATGTTGGGTTAATGGTTAGGGGCTCTATGAATTTCTGAAAAATGAGTGTTTTAAATGTTTGCAATTTAGTGGAATACTTTTTGATGAACCCATTTAGTGCTTTGTCTTATGAAGATGAATTGATTGTGAAAAAGAAACGTCCGACACCGGAATTGAAAAATCTGATTGTAACAGGTAACAAACAAAATCGTTCGTTCAATTCTGATAATTATAAAAATTATATCTGGCTGACGAAATCTGAGGTAAGGAATAAGCTATTTTGTTGGTAGGTACTGCGTATTATTTCCAACCGATAAGTCATCATGTTGGGGGCGATTAGGATATAATAATTTGGCTCGCGGTTTGGATAGACACTGCGAATCACAGGAACACATCTCTTCAAGTATTAAGTTCAGGTTAACTGGTAAACAGAATGTCATTAAAGCTATTGATTTGGGTGAGTAGAGAGTTGTTTTTCACAATAAATCTCATATCATTCAGCCTCCTCTGTCATGAAAGTCACGAGCCGCCACTGACACAGATTGTTTCTATTTGGGTCAAACTTATTCTGCCGTTTGCAAACAATTTATTCGAGATAATTCGAACTTGATTATTGTCTTTTAACAAGACATGACCAATTTGGAACACATTTATGATGACCATGTGAATATTTATATGTCCTTACAACAATTTAAAGAACTTTGCGCACTCTGCTGTGGCGAAAAATTCGGATTTATTGTTATCGATAAAGATTCTCCATTGAGCTCGGGTAGATACCGCAAAGAGTTCGATGAGTTCATTCATATATAAATTGAATCATTTTCCAATCATGTTTATTCATGATGAATAACCGCACGGTAGCGGAACTATTGACACGAAACACGGAAGGCTTTGAAAATAAAAATATAGAACCTTGAAAGGCGATATTAGGAAATCTCAATCTGATTTAGAGAAAGCCCATCAGCCTATTACGCAACCTCTCAAAGAATTACTCGCAACCATTGGCAAATCTGATCAAGGAACGTTTGTAAAAACGGCACCAACTATGGATTTGAAAGATGAAGAAACATTTCTACACGACCCCTCATTAGTAAGACCAGAATATAGGGAATGTTTCTTTGAAGAAACAATACCACCTGGATTGGATTCAATGGCGCAACATAAGAGATATTTAGAACAATTCAATTCTCCACTACCTAGGGCATATATTGACGATAAAATACTGGATACTGAAAATGCTTTTGATGCTACTTTTGGTGTTTATTTTGATCCGTTCACAAAGAAATATCCTATTGGTGATTCTACAATAGATTTTGACGGCCCTGATTTTTTCATTATAAATGGTATTTTGAAATATAAGGGTACTCCTGGATTATATGAGCTCATGTTCAAAAAATATCCTACTGGTATGAAAAACAGTGATATAGATCAGTATATTGATATAGTTCGAAGAACCAACACACATTATTTAGGCTATAATCCTGTGAAAGGGCTATCTACATCAAATTTGCAAAAATTCATTGACATTATCAAACCAAGAATCACTACGCTACATTCCATGAATTTGAAGAAAACTGTAAAAAACAAGACCCCTAGCCCTCAATACCTTCAGTTGTTCGAGGGCAACCAACGAGACCAAGAAGTGGTTCCACTCCTTCAATCATAACGACAAGAAGCCGAACAAAACAGGGAGGAAAATTGACCATGATGCAACTGAACAAAAAACCTGCGGAAAATAAATATTTCACCGACTTTAATGAATTAGTAGATAGACTAAGGCTTTGATTGCTTCTGAATCGGCTGGTGATACTGGTCACAATAATGAGATTATTTCTATTTTTGAAGAGCTGAGGGAAGGCAAGATCATAAAATAGATTCATAGTTATTATTTTGAGTCATTCTGATTATAGCACTGTAACGATGTCGATCGATAAGTTTGGAAGACATCTTTTTAACAAAAACCGAAATCCTAGCACATCTCCAGAAGAACCATTATTGGCATCAATGCATCCTATACAGTTACAATCACTTGTCTATATCTGTCAACCAATATCTTACCATAGTAAATGTATAATTACTATTCGTGGATCGGGTTCAGGTCAACAAGTTCCAGGAATGGTGAAAAAAACTGGGTCTTCTCACAAGAAAACAATAGTGGATCATATGTCTTTCCGGTATCTGGAGAGATTGAGAAAATTACATACAGGTGGAAGAATTGATAGAAAAAGAAATGAATAAAGGTGACACGATCTCATTTGCCTCTATCAAAAGAGATCGATTGGGTTCATTGTATGCTCAAATAGTGCTCCAGTGCCCATAACCTAAAAATGAGTAGTGTCAAAGAATCAGTCGTAAACGAATTACATAAGCCTGCTAGGAAAACATTTAGAAGACGTTCGAGTGATAGTAAAAGGTTTGAATGACTTGTATCAGGCTGATCTAGTTGAAATGATACCCTACGCAAAAATTAATGAAGGATACCGCTACATATTGGTTGTAATCAATGTTTTTAGTAAATTGGTATGGTTAAGACCGGTAAAACGTAAAAGCGCAAAAGATGTCACAGAAGCAATGAGAGATATCCTTGATAATGTTGAAATCAAACCTAAAAATATTCAAACAGATATGGGGAAAGAATTCTACAACAAAGATTTCAGATCGTTGATGGAATCTCTCAACATAAATCACTATAGTACATTTTCAAATTTGAAAGCTAGTGTGGTTGAGCGGGTGAATCGCACTTTGAAGAATTCAATGTGGAGGAAATTCAGTTTGCAGGGTACTTATAAGTGGTTGAATATCCTGAAGGAAATAGAGGATGTATATATTAACACAAATCACAGCACAATTGGAATGAAACCTAAAGATATGAATTCTGGGAATGAAAATACATTACTGAAAACTGTATATAGTCATTTGAAAACAATTGATCCTAGAAAGAATAAATTCAGAGTAGGTGACTTTGTGAGAATAAGCAAGTTCAGAGAAGCATTTTCAAAATCGTATCAGCCTTCTTGGTCAAATGGAGTCTTCAGAATTTAAATTTGTCAAACCTAACTACTTATTTGCCAGAAGATCAGAATCAAGAAGAAATTCGGGGAGGTTTCTACAGCGAAGAGCTTCAGAAAGTGAAATATCCCAACATCTACTTGGTGAAAAAAGTTTTACAGCGACGTGGAAACAAAATTCGTGTCAAGTGGCTAGGCTTAGATAATTCTCATGATTCATGGATTGATAAAAAGGAACTTTTGTGAAATACATTTATATTTTTTGAAATAAAACAATTATTCAGATGATTTTAATTTTTTTTTATTACGTAATTCCTAGTGGGTACAATTATTCGTGTGCTAATTCTTATTGTACATCACGTCTCTACGAGGAGTTTGTTATAAATCTGTAGTCGCAAATCCGCAAAATAGATCGCGAGCTCACTAAAATAGTTCGTATAGGTATGTCTCGTACTATCGACGACTTATTCCATTTAGTTCAACAAGGAAACCAGGAACTGAAAACTGAAATTCAAAATCTGAAAGAATCCTTGAATAACAAGATAGCCGTTTTGAAAGGCGAAAACGATCAGCTGATTAGAGAAAACTCAGAGTTGAAACAACGCATATCAGAAACAGAGAAGAAACTAAAAAAGTATAACTTAATTGTTTATGGAGTACAGGGGGACGACCAGAAGACTGAATCCGAAGTAATAAATATAGTGAATGATATCTTGAAAGTAAAATGCAATCATCGAGATTTTAGAGATATCTATAGAATTGGGAAATCGGTTAATGGAGAAGTTAGACCGGTAGTGGTAGAAGTGGTGAACTTTAATCTGAAAACATCAATTTTATCTTCTGCACGCTCTCATGGACCCGAGCTGAAGAAGAAGAATATCAATTTCTCACATGATTACACAAAAGAAGAATATACAAAACGGAAGTTAATCCATAAGTACTTAGTCAAAGCCAGGAAAAATAATTTAAGTGCATTCATAAAGAATAACATATTGACTATCGATGGCAAAGAATTCTCATATGAAGAGCTTTTAACTCAAGAAAATGAGACAGAACAAATCAACAATGCTGGAGACACAGAGCTTATAACTGATAAAATCGAGAAGAAAAGAAAGTTCCAATAATCACCAAATTCCATGATCGAAAAATCAAGCCGAAGCAAGACAAGATCACAGTCCCAGTCCTCGAATTATCGTTGAGGAATCCTATAAGTGTATTAATCAAGTGATATTGTAAATTTCTTTCTTGTATTTCCTTATTGTCATATTCTCCACCATGAGAAATTCTTAATATTATATATGAAATAAAACTTTAGCCATATGATGTTTTGAGGCTATGTTTAATTAGTAGGTATAGGTTGTGAATAAGCATCATTCTCAGAATTATCAGATACATGAATAATTATATGTCTTTAACCATTTTATAACCTCAAAAATCTCATATGAAAGCTAGAATGAATCAATTCATCAGGGATTTCAGGAATGATCCAATCAAAACAACTAGCATAACTAAACTAGACGAATTAAATCCAACCCTGATTGGTAAAACAGGCCTCATAGTCACTCATGCAAACATTCGTAGTTTGGAAAAAAATATGGACCAATTCATGATCCTTCTCAGTCAATTTCCAGTATGTCCAGATATTATAGCACTATCTGAAACAAGGAAATTATGTAATGTATCAAACTATAATATAGATGACTATACAATTTTATACAATCAAGGTGAAATAAATAAGGGTGATGGTGCGCTACTGTATATACGAAATACTGTGGACATTGTTGAATTTGAGATTATTGAAATAAATAATTTCAAATTCATTAATGTGCAAATAAAACAGAACGAAATCTCTATAAATATAATATCTACATATAGACCACCCTCTACAAATCCGACTGAATTTATAGAATCCCTTGCAGACTTACTTGAACAAAATAAAAAAGTTAAAAACGTGTCGCTCTTTTTAGGCGATATAAATATAGATTTATTAGTGAATACCGATATATCAAGTGAATATATAAATCTGCTCAGTGAATATGGCTTTACTTCCGTCATCAACAATACAACAAGAGAACAGGGTGAATCAAATACATGCTTAGACCATATATTTTTGAAATACCCAAACGAAATTTTAGAAAAAATAAACCCAGTCATAATTAAATCGAATATAACTGATCATTATCCTACTTTTTTGAATCTACCGCTAGCAAACAGACCATTACAACAATGCCAAGAAAATTTCTACAAAAAAATTAATAATCAAAAATTGATAAATGCAATTAAAAATGAATCATGGAAAAATGTGTATGCAGAAAACGATACAGAGAAATGTTGTAATATATTCTTAGATATTTTGAAGCGGTATATAAACAATAACGAAGAAACAATCCGTTGCCGATTGAAAAAGAGAAATCCTTGGATCACCAATGGCATCATTACATCAATGAATAGAAGGGATAGTTTGTATCAGGAAGTATTGAAATACCCAACGAATGAATACATCAAAAGGGAATACAAAACATTGCGAAACAAAATAATCACTTTGATTAAAAAAGCCAGGAGAGAATATTACCGAGAGAAGATTAATGAAAACTCTTTGAGCTCTAAAAAATTATGGGATGTTGTCAGTGAAGTCACAAATAAGACAAAAAATACATACATTGGTGATATTGTTGTCAATAATGTCACATTACAAAAATATGAAGATAAAGCCAATGCCTTCGTAGATTTTTTTTCGGAAATCGGTGAAGCCTTAGCAACAAAAATTTCGATAAATAATAAATATACATTTCCACACGAGCGCCTCAATAAATCTATGTTTGTACGGCCAACAGATGAGAAAGAAGTTTTGATGTTCATGAATGGACTAAAAAATGGCAAGGCTCCTGGAATTGACTCTATAAAAAGCGAAACAATGAAAATTATTGCACCTTATATTGCAAGACCCATGGCACATGTGATCAATAAATCAATACAAACTGGATACGTCCCTTCCGCATTTAAAGTTACTATAGTTAAGCCTTTGCATAAAAGTGGTAGTAAACAGCAAATAAATAATTATAGGCCGATTAGCTTGATTACAAATTGCACCAAAATATTCGAATATATCATAAAAAATAGGTTGAATTCATATCTACAAAAAAATGGAATATTATCGAATAAACAATATGGTTTTCGCGAAGGGATCAGTACTCAGGATGCAATAGTGAAGTTGACATCACAAATTTATAAAAACATTGATAACAAGAAGCCATGTATTGCCGTTTTCATTGACTTGACGAAGGCATTCGACACGGTGAACCACAGCATACTACTCGAAAAACTGAACAATATTGGCGTGAGAGGAATCGCACAAGATTTACTGATTTTACATTTACTGATGAAGATTATCTGATTTACTTGGAACGAATTCAAAGACGCATTCTTAAAATTATATTTGACAAAAAAAAATAGATTCCCAACTATTTTACTACATAAGCAAAACGGAATATGTGATATGAGGCAAATCTATGCGAAAGTATTACTTATATATGTCTTCAATAATAAATCTATCTTTCCACAAATTCAGCATAATATAAATACCCGCGCCAAACAAAACAATCATTTGAGAAGTCAAAGACCTGAAAAATCAATTGGGCAGAAAAATCTATTCTATACGGGTCCTAAATTGTATAATCTACTGGGCACTGACATACAACAAACCAAATTGAAATTTGCGGCAAAAAAAAAAGATCAAAAAATGGGTTCTCGAAAACTATGAATTGATTCACGAAAACTTGTAATGGATCATAAATTAATTTCTAGGAACTTGTATTTATTTTAGTTAATTTTCTGTGAATGTTTATAAAAGTATTTTTCATATTGGTTTTCGGATGGAATTGTCAGTCCATAATCGAGACGACACATTTTCTTTAATAATTGTTCCGGCCATCCAGATATGTGGATATTTTCTTATCTTCTTATAAATATAGGTGAAATAGTATGTATTTATCAGTCTATATAATATTCAATTAATTATTAGGGATAGCTCAAAGAGAGAGAAACTATTACTTCATTACTGCTCAAAAAGTTACAATAATATTGAATATCCACTTCCAGTCAAGAATCCTTAGATTCTTAAGGAGGTACCTTGCTTTATTCTGTAATTTTTAGATATGTATACTGAACAATTACAATACGTTGTTATATCGATAGCTACTTCTCTAAATTTTTTTTGTAATTCTCATAAAATTCGTTGAATAAAGATTATTATTATTATTATTATTATTATTCAGGTCTTCAGAAAAAACGTCAGGGTATATGTGGATGAATTCTAATACTAAACTGATATTTTCACTACTTGGGTTCTCCTGTGGCCTGACAAGATTAAAAGCATTGTTCACTACATCTCCATCTTGATTTTGAAGAGCTTTCTGCAGAACTGTGAGGTAATTCGTAAACTGCAGTCTCCCCATCATTTCCATTTGATATATGATGAGCGGCAATAGAGTCCACAATTTGCAAAGGGATTCATAACCCAAGAAAATATAAAAGTTATTTTTCTGAATCTCTGAACACTCGTTTCCGAAATTTTCATAAAGTATATCTGGAAGGATTCACCATCTAACGAGTTCGGATGGTCACTAGGATAGGAATAATTTGTAATGATCTCTTGATATTTTAGAAAATCCATCCACTCACGATCATTGAAAGTGATTGCATCATTCTTGAGTCCTGATATCTGGATGCAAGGTCTGAAGCCAAATTCATAGGATAATCCTATGGAAATAACGTAATTGCTTCTTGATTTATTCAAAGGCAATCTCTTCTCTCCCAACAATATTGATTTATGTTTATTCTCATGATGTTCTTTCAGATTATATCTAACTTTCGAGTCACCGGTAGGAACACTTGATGTATAGTAGCCCTGCCCACTCGAATTCACAGTTGATTTCGACAAGTCCATTTCAGAATAATATGTGTTTTACAACTAGAATTTGAAAACTGAGTGAAGGATCTCATTGTGATGAGTTATATACCTTTGAATTGAAAATTATTAGTCTGATGAATCCATTAATTCATACACCAGATGAATCATTACGTTAACTTATATCAATTAGTCTGAAGGAGCAATGAATCAACTTTGATCACTATTAATTAAGATCAACTCATGGATGACTCATTCTGCACATGTTTTTAATTGGAGAATATTAGTTCATTTATATTTATTGTTGATAATTAATATTTAATGACTGCACCTGTTCTCAGTTACTCGGTACATATAGTTATGGATCAAAGTCAATTAAAATCAATTGACTGAATCATTCAATTATACATACCTACAAACCCTACTTCCATAGTTTTGTATATAGTACGGATATAAATTCGCTTACGTTCAAACATCAGATATGTCCTTTCCTAATTCACAATGGATGTGGACGAAACATTTTTCGACTCCGATGAAAGCAAATTAGACGGAGAACAAGTAATCAGAAACCAGTAGGGGAGAGCGGGGAACAGTGGCCATTTTTTCAGATTTTTATTTTTATTTCAGTTATGGATTATGGTTTCCATGAAAAAACTGTACAGGTCAAATAAAGGCATATTCTAATATGTAGAAACATTTTATCACTCAACTCAAATGAAGTAATACAGAAAAAAACGAGCATTTTCTAGAAAATGTAAATCTGGCCACTGTACACCAAACATGGGGCACACTGGTCACATGAGTGGGCATCAGTGGCCATCAAACTCAAAACTCAGTTTCCAGATAATATTGGTGAGCTGAAAGCATATCGATTTGATTATCGATCACCATTTTAATCAATAATCATTACATGACATTATACTCATCAAAATTCATTTTGAATTGGTAAGTGTTTTGTAACCTGGTGGTACCACCGGTGGTCACACGTGATGACGGAATGACTTTAACAACATCTTCTCGCTGCACTGCTGCTTCATCTCTTATGATAGGGAATACAAATTTATTTCCAACTTTCCTCAAAAAGTTAACAACAAGTTCAGTAGAGTCATCAGATATAGTTTCAACTTGTCCGATGAAATATTTCACTGACTTCTTTGACATGAACTTAACTAAAACAAATGTTTTGGTTTGAATTACTTGGAGATCAGCGTTCTCATC